ATCCTGCCGCAGAGAGAGAGAGCGAAAAAAAAAAGGGAACCAGCGGAAAAAAAAAGGGAACCAGCGGAGGGCAAGCGAGGGTTGTGCCGTGCGTGCGTGTGCCAGCCCTTTCCAGGGCAGGGGGCGGTGCTAGGGCGCCAGCCGGTGATGAGCCGTGCAGGTCTGGTTGGGGCAGGGGTTCGAATCCCGTCGTCTCCAGCTGCTTGGCGAGCTTCGCTTGAGGCTTTGTAAAGTAGACGTCTTCCCTCCTCCCAGTTATCAGCTCCGTGTTCTTGGCCAGGACGTTTTGAAGGTCTAGCCTTCTGAGGGGAAGTTTCCTACTGACCCTGGGAGGGAGCAGTAAACGAGAGAGATTGGATGACCCTGCCCCATGCAACTAATAATTTACCTTCTGTCTTTAGTCCAGCTCTGTTGGCCATTGCCCGCATGCTCCTACATGAAATGGCTCCACATGCTCTTACATGAAATGGCTCCAGGGCCACCTCCTCCAGGCAATCCTTCTGGCTCTCTAGCTGGAAGCAGCTCTTTTGGCTGGACTGATTGGAAGGGTGGACTTCCCACTTAACCCCGATGCCCCTATCCAACCTTAAGCTTGGGGGCCCCTGGCTATGATTGACACCAATTTCGACTTAGACTCTTCAAGGTCGCTGCTCAGTTCTCCCGATTGCTCTTAATTGCTGGTCATTTACTGAAGAACAGAAAAGTTGAGAGAGGTCAGATTCCTAAGAGCTGAGGCTTAAAGAAATTAGACGTCTTCCAGCTTGGGATATATTGTGAACTCCAACAGGCTCTTAGTAGGGGCCACTGTATACTGAACAGCGGAGTGAAGACGCGCGTGTGCTCACTCCAGCCTGTTCAGTGCTGGAGCCCGTGCCCATAGGGAACAGAAACATCTCGTCCCTGGGGCTTACCCTCCACCACTGCCTCTCTTCAGCCCTTATCTTCAGAACCTGTCACTTTTATCTTTGGAAGCATCTAGAATCAATGTGTCTGTTGGTGCTGCTGCAGAATGGATGTAGGTCAAAGAGACACAAAAGCAAGCCCCGAGCATGTGCTATCTCCCCGTGTGCAGCCATGACAGACCAAGAAGGGTCACAGTTTGAACAAAATGTACTTCTGTCAACTCACGGGCTGCTTAACTTCTGGGAAATTTCCCGTTTCGGTGTCCTTAACTTAGGAGAGGCAGAGCCATAGATAAGGAGATGGAAGGGCAGCCTTGGGTGGTAAACAAACTGGGGTGGTCGTTGGCCCAGTTAGAGCTCTGCTCTGTCTTGTTCTTTTCACGGTATCTCATTTGCCTCTTCTGGTGCAAAGTTTTTTGCCCCCCCCCCCCTAATTTATGTAACAGCCTTTCAGCTATCACCCCGTTCCTAAGTAGAATTTAGTGGCTGCCCTGGCCAGGCCCAGTCAAACTTCTTCGGTGTATTAAACAGATTCCCCTAATTGCATTTCCTTTTATAGATGGTTCATGAATGCTGCCCCTGAAAAGCTCTGTATCAGGATGGGCCAATTTAATTGAGGAGGAGGATTTAGCCTAGAGTAACGTTTGTCCCTTGCTACCTCTTTGGCTGTTCAGCTTTCAGAGTGTGAAGCTTTGCAAGAGCAGGTATTTCCGTCAGGGGCTGTCACCGGGCATAGGGCTGTAAGAGCACAGGCTTTGCTGGGGGGATGTGCTCCTGGGATTCCTGAGGTCAGGGGTCCCAGCCCATGTCCTTGCTGAGTGCCACATGGTGTGCCCCTAAGTTGTGCATGTTGGTGGCACTCACTCCACATGATGTTTATTACCACACACTGTCACTGTCCACGTGTTTTGGGAAGTGTTTGTGGATGGAAAGGTAGGGTAGAATTTGATTTTTTTTTTTTTTTGGAGACAAAGTTTTCCAAAAGGCATGTGCCACCACACCCAGCACGATTATGATTTTTTTCCTAAAGAAGGGAAAAAAGTAATTTTTGAGTGAAGAAAAGTGAACATGTTAGACATCTATTGTAGATTCAAAGTTGGCTTCTACAAAAAGAATGTAAAATATATAGAAAAGTGAATTTACTTATGAGAAGATAATGCTTAGCATATCTAATGTGTTAATGTACAACAGGGCCTTAATGTTGAGTAGAATTGTCTTTGTTCTTTTTGAAGTTTTAAAAAGCATAAGCTGAAAATTATAGCGGTGCATACTTATTCCAGTCTATCACCCCAAGTGTCGAACATTTCTTGAGATGAGAACATTTGAAATGTGTTCTTTTAGTGATTTTGAAGTGAGAAATATATTACTTATCCCTGTCACTATGATATGCAGCATATCACACACAAAGTGAGAGCATAGTTACTGTTTTAAAAGTTGCTGGGTACGGTGCAGAAAGGTCATGAGGCTTGAGCCATGACAAAACCCAGTATCAGAGCTTTATTAGGAGGGAGGGGGGGGGAAGAACCAGGCCTGGGGAAGAAGCATGTGCAGGGAAGAGAGAGGGGGGGAGGGGAGAGGAGGGGAGGAGAGGGGAGGAAAGGAGAGAAGAGGAGAGAAGAGAGATAGTAGGGGGAGGAGAGAACAGAGAGGAGAGAGGGGAGGATTCCCATGCACATGCGCAGGTAGGCTTACAGAGCTACACCACAGATGCGGTGAATGCGTGACCACGCTGCACATGCGCACATTTGCGCAATCATGCAGCTCACAGATGATGTAAGATTTAAGACCCTTTACTTAGCTGCTGAACTGCACATGTACAGTCATGCCCCTGGATTGGTGGCAGAATCCTAACATTCCAATATGTTTGTTTATTATAAAAAGTGGGTGAATAGGAATAGGGGCATCGTTTCTCCTGGAAAAAACTGCTTCCAGCTGACTTGGTGGGTGTTGGTTGACTCTTGGGGGGCGTGGAGAAGGGGGCTTCTGAGGTAGACTCCTGGGGTCATCTGCTGCCTTGGAAATCATCTGACAAGGTGCTGTCTAGGTGGATTCAAGCCGGTTCCGGAGCTCGCTGACCTGTCCGGGTGGATTTTCTGGAGCTCAGAAAAATTTTGAATATATTAAGAAGCAGCCATGAGAAAATTAAAGTCTTGGGCTAGTGACCATTGTAGTGTTTAGTACTCTGCTGGTTAATGTTAGTGAGAGAGAGAGAGAGATTTAGGATATGTTTTTAATTTTTACCTGAGATAAGCCTTATTAGAGACAGATTATTTTAAGGCCCCTGTTTCCTTTATTAGTTTAGCATTGAGGATACACAGGTGATCAATTGTTGAGAGCATCTAACAGTAATAGGTTGTTATATTAAGGTCTGTTTTTTGCAGAGCCCAGACCCTTTTTGGTCTGGGGGTGTAAACAACTTTTACTTGTTACTGTTCCGTACCACCTGGGTATATCTGATGGTCTTTGGACTCCAGCTCTATGGTGATCCTGTAATAATTAGCTGAATAGTTAATTAGAAGAGGGAACCAGGAAGAGAAAAGCTTGTGGGGTGAGACCTCATTCTTCTGGAATTGGTGACAAGGCAGTGGATCCTGGTGTCCTCTGAAACTTGAGAGAGAGAGAGAGAGCATGGCCCTGTCTGTGTCCCTGTGCCGGAGAAGCCCTGCTGACAGGTCTGGAGTGAGCCACATGGAGGGAGCAAATGAAATGAAAGCTCCTATCTTACCTGGAAAATCTCTTCCCATCAAATAACCCTTAAAGTACAATTAAGTCTGGTGAGGTGGGTAAGGCTGTCCCCCCTACCCCGACAATAGGGAAATGAGAAGGAGAGGTGGGACCCCAAAACTTCCTCCGGACTGATTAAGTGGCTCCGTGTCCAACAGGAAGGAAATGGATTGCCCCATGCTGCATCCTGGGTTCCCTGTGAGCCCATGGCCAAGCCTAGGAGGTCTACTAGAGGTCTTAGTTTGATGTCCCCATGCCCCTGGGTGCACAGGGGCAGTCAGCTGACCAGTTCTCTCTCTAGGTGGCACTTTGAACAAGGCTCAGTTGATGGCCCGGCAGGACATGCACTAGTCTACATGGCCTTTTGTAGCACATATCTAAAACAGGGACCTGGAAGCCCTTATGCAGCTGCTTAGATGGTGTGTGCCAGCACCTGGCAATTCTGTTCACGGGCATTCTCATCTCTCCCATGGCACCTTAAATGCCACAGCTGAAACTTCCACCTGTGGGGTCAGAAGCCTTGCTCTCCAGATGCTTAAGTTTTTAGCCCTAATGTCAGGGAGACGAGATGGATTTTATTCCATGTCTTGAATTTTTTTTTTTTTTTTGATAGTTTAGTGATTTGAGGACAGCTTTAGGAAGACCCACCAGGAGGCAGGCTGTAAACCAATCTCTGGCTAGAGAGCCATCTGGATTATTTTGATCCCAATGTGGGTCCTGATTGTAAACTTATTTGCATGCATCCTAGCATGCTTCCAGACCTGTCCATGCTTAGCAGCCCGCCTGGTACCAGAGAACAGAGCAGAGAACAGATAAGATAAGGTTCTTTGGAGTGAGAGATTCCTTACGTTTGGGAATGTGAGGGTTCAGAGCTTAGTTAAAAGCATGGGGATAAGGTAACTCTTTTCTTTTGCCTGTTTGCTGGCAGAAGTTAGATAATTCTCATGAAATATTGGGATTCAAGCAGCTGTTGCACGGCCAAATTTACTGGTATCTGGGAATATTTAAGGCATTTTTCAAAGGAGGAGTGGAACCAAGAAGAGGATGCCTCCATGTCCCATGACTGCAGTCGAGAGAAAAAAAATAAAAAATTAAAA